CAAACGGGTTGTCGTCGCCTGGTTTTGGAGACAGAGAGGACCAAAGCAAAACCAGCCCCAAAAACGTACCGACTACCAGCAAACTCCGAAGTATAAATCCAACTTTTAGCCTCATTGTTCAGCTCTGCTGGGGCTGAAAATGAACAAAAGAGCAGCTGGCTAACCCGAGGAAGCTGACATTAACGGCTTGACAGCTCTAGTGTGCAGCTCCGTGCCTCTTCTCTTAAGCGCTGCCCTTCAGAGCAGCACACGGCACCGAGGCGAGCAGAGCCTGGTTTATTACTACAGACAAGCAGAATCTGCTCAATGACTATAGCTAAGCTGGTCCTGCTTTACTCATACAGATATGCACAAACAGCTGTACGACCATAGGCAGGCAAAAGAACCTGCTCTAGTTGCCGATTACACGCAAGCGGAAACTGCTTTATTATTACTGGCAAGTTGAAATGCCAATTGAACCCATGCGCCACCTTCACACACCCACTCTTGACCTGCGCACACACACGGATATTTGTTAGAAACACACGGATACGCGAAGCCTTCTCAACCTGCTTGGGGTGCTTGTTTGATCAGCAGTGCCCTATTGCCCTCCACAGACACCCATTACCTCATAACGGGTAATTTTATTAAGTTTTCAAAATTTCTGTATGATTCAGTGGTTAAGATATAATCAAAGTCCCTCAGAGTGGTTTGATATGAAATGGCTCATTTGTAGAGAAACTTAAACTCGGATTTCTTTACAGAGGATAGGAACCAGGAGTCCAGATGTCTACAATGCAAATATAGCCACTTTATTTACTACCCATACCACCAGTGAGCACAAACATGTCTTCTGAGTTACTTTGATGATGGAAAAAAATAATAATAAAAATGAAAACTAAAAAATAAGTTTTGTTTGGGGACTATTTTGCCTTAGAACACCCTTCATGTACCTTTTCACCATGGATGGATTAAATAAATTGATTACTAAATAAAATGGATACATTTGATGTTAAATATATTGAATACGTTTATCATAAAACTATCATAGTACAATGTCTCTGAGATCAGGGAGTGTATTCATAATCACTGTAACTGTAACTGTAATGTAACTGCTGCACCATTTACGGTGGAACGGGAATATTCGAACAAAAACTTAATGAATAGCTGACTTCAGCGTACCCCTGGATGCTCTCCCCAGGTCTATTTCAAACGCTGACTCTAAGATGTGCAGTTTCATGTAAAACCCTGCGTGTGACTTTCTGGGACTGAAAAATTAGATGCTTATACATGCACACTTAAGGGGTGATTGATTTGGAATGATGCACACACACAGGGCATAGACAAAATAATGATGTAAAGACACTGAAGTAACTTGCACTCAGCTAAAACATACACATGATCTGAATACACTATGTGCTCTGATATGTTCAAAGCAACACTATGTTTCTGAAGTTGTGGAAGTGGATGGACAGTTAGATGTCATGTGAGACAACACAACAGAAGATCGCTGTCCAGAATTAGAAAGACATCAGATCATAGAGCAGTGGTGCCAGTTCCGATCCTCATGGGCCTCAGCTTAGCACAGTTTGGTTATTTTTTTATTCAAACACACGTCTATCGATTAATGCACTCAGGTGTGTTTGAACAGTGAAATCACCAGACTGTTCCAGACTTGACTCTCCTGATAGAGGTTTTGCCCTTTCTGAGCATTCTATAAAACATAACTCAAAGGATCACATACAAAAACTTTAACGTCAATCTGAAATAATGAAGAAATTTTCACTTTGTTGGTTAATGTGCATGGTCATATTAAATCTCTTTCTAACCTCATTGTGTTACGATATCTGATTCACACTGACTTTAGGACCAATTCTTTCAGATGGGGAATCCTCAAGGCCTTCAGAGAAAGTCTGATGACTTCAGTGAACTTATACCACGTTTCAAATTTCTAGTAGATGTTTATTAAATAGAATCATGCTTGTATTTAAATTCTGCAAATACAGGGTGATTCTACAAGATTCATCCGATTTCAAAGCACCATAATTTTACTGCCATGAGGCGCCTAGGAACCAATCACACACCAATTGAAAGAGGGGGTCATAGCGTTTCTGACTGTCACCGGAAGATGGCTCCTTTCAGGCTGCAAGGAGATGGCAACCCCTGAGCAGAAAGCGTTTTGCGTTCTTCATTTCTTCAAAGAGCCATGCGTACAGTGACACCCGACATGCTCAATCGAGTATGGGATGAATTTGACTATGGCGTTGATGTTGTCCGTACAGCTGGAGGAGGCCATATTGAGCACTTGTAAAATTACATAATAAACTTTATGCTTACTTAAACCATTTACAATGTACTGCATTGTTCTGTAATGATTTACAAGTGAAATAATCATTTTGAAATCGGATGAATCTTTTTGAATCACCCTGTATTACGTACTTTTGTTTCACTGTTAAGTTCTGGATGGAAACCAAAGGGTTAAATTCCTCAAATGAGTAGAAAATTGGCTAAGTGAGCTAAGTGAGCTCTCCTATTGACTAGAACTTCAAGAGCTGAAGAGAAGACCTAATGCATTAGATTACTGTCATTTAACTAGGACACGACAGAGGAATCATCCTGTGGCATCATTGCTTGCCTATGTTCTACTCAGTTTAGAAAAAATTGCCTGTTAGCATTTGTTCTGCTCAGTTCATTTGCAGGGACTTTTATTTTGAAGGGCAGGGCTAGGTTCTGAGGGTGGTAGTTGTTGTAAGTGAGGGAGCAAGCCTAGCCAGAGTTAGCAGAGCCATGAGTTAGCACAATGCTGTATTTTTCCCTTTTCGTTTCACTGTTCCTGAAAAATTGTGGTAAAGCTGAGATTTGGACCAGAGTCTCGACTTGCCTAAGTTTCTTTTGAGAACCGCCCGTGTCACATTGGTGACAGAAATAGCTCAAGACCCGGATCCGAGACGTCGATCCTGGCCATGGCGTGAGGTTCCAGTGGAGCGTCAGGTAGGGGACAACAAGAGGGGCGCGGTGCGATGGAGGGAGGCGAGGCTGGTGGAAGATGAGAAGAAGCTGTTAAGAACCAGACCCAGTGGCCCAGGGGAAGAGTACGCTCTTTCAATGACAGCGAAAAGAAAGCATCAAGCCTCCGCAAAGCATGGGCGACTGGGGATTTACGCTTTGCTGGGTGGAGCCAACCTGTAGCTGTCAATAGGATAATTAGGAGTTGAAATTATGTCCTCCACAACGTCCTTGCCCAGTGCCGTTACTGGCCCCCCGACATGACAGGCGAAGCCACCCCTACAGCGGTAACGCATCTGTGGAGAGAAGCCAGGTCTGCTCACTGCTGAGTTTGGTGGGACTCACCTACAGACAGTTTGCAGCAGTGGCCCATCATAGCTTGGGGTCTGATGCCTTCCTATGGACGGTAAGTCCTGTAAGGCTCCAGCAACAGTTGCGGTACGCAAAGCCAACATGCCTGGGGGAGGCTTTATGGTGGGTGGAAGAGATGGATGCAATTTTGGAAAAATATGTGGGCATGGAGATGCTGTGGTAAGCAACACAATGTTACACAGCAGAGGAGATGATGCACCCTGCGTAACCCCAAGTGAGGGACAGCAGGCAGGTGGCAGGTCTGGTCATGGTGGGGGGCCGAGAGCAAAAGTTCTGACTCGTGTCAGAACTCGTACAGAATGTGTGCATACTTGGTTTGGATTTCCTTGTTGAGGCTGGGGCTGTGCTCATCCTCAGGAAGGACATGCCGGGCTTGCAAATGGGACAGGTCAAGCTGGCTGCGGCAGGTAGCAGTGGAGCCAAGGCAGAATGTCAGGGCTCCCTGGCAATGTGGCCCTCGCTTCCAATGAGGGAGGGCTGCATCAGAGACAGTAGGTGGATCCCTGGGGTCAGCGCACACTGTCAGGTCGAGGACACCATCGATGCCAGCTTCAATGACACAGTGGACGACGGAGGAAGTGGAACTGTGATCGGTGGGTCAAGGGCTGGGAATTTCAGCCAGAGGATAGAGACGGGGTGTTTCCTCCATGCTGCTGGATTAGCCGTTCCACAATTACCGGAAGAAATGTTAAGTGTCAATGTTTCAATCCACTTATTTTGTATGTGCACGGATAAAAGAAAATGTGCACACAATTAAAAAGAAAATCTGTGCAGAATTAAAAGAAAATGAACAAGTGAAACAAAAAGAGAACAAGTTGTTAACTGTGAGAATGAATTAAGAAAATTTATCCACAAATATAAGAAAATGTATACATGATTAAAAGAAAAGGAATTGTTAATCATGGGAACAAATGAAGGAATGATGGCCACAAATATAAGAAACTGTGCCTCCGACCCGTCTGGGGCTCCATAGAAAGAAGATAGAAGCACTGGAAATAATGATTTTAGTTTACATCTATTTTTTTCTGTCATTAATCAGAGTCTGTTTATTTTGTGTTACTGCAACAAAATAAACTGCAGAAGATGCTTATGATGATAAGTGACGTATTTATCTAGTTAGAAGCACCACATAACACCTGTGACTGCTGAATAACCATTGCTTTTTGAGTTTCCGACTAGTAAATATGAAATTTCTGACACAACTTGAACGCACCATAGGCCTTCAGGAAGTCCTATATGCCACTGACTATGAAAAGGAGTGGCAGCCTAATGAGTGAGCTTTAAGAAATGGAAAACAGCAGTTTATCTTTTTAGATCCCCAGGCCTCTCTACTGAAAGAAACCCTGTGAAACTGCTACAAGGAAAACTATATGTCTGTCATAAGCTTCAAGTAAAACATGAAATGTATTATAGAACGCCCAAAAAGTGTTCATGCGAATTGCCATTAGCTTAGTGCTACCAAACTGCTAGAATCCCATAGGGATGCTAGTGTAAATTAGCATTCAATTAGAATTATATTAGAGATGGGTTTTGACATCCATGGCTAAAATTGAAGGCTCTCTGTTCGCCACTGACTTCTGTAGATGTGTAATGCTACCAGAGACAACCATGAAATGTTCAGAGGTGTGTAGTGTAGCCTAAAACCTTATTCTGATATTGCTACTTATGTGAAATAACAACAAGTAAAAGCACCTTTCCAAAAAACAACGTAAGTGATGTTCAAAAGGAGCAGCTCAAAAACCCACTTAAGTACAATGTAGCTTTAATTAAAATAACTGTGTTATATCCTGTATTTCTCTTTTTAGATCCTTTTGATTTATTTTTCTAAAATGAAATGATACAGCTCCAAAGTAAGAGGAGTGAGCAACAGTAAAGAGCTGAACCAATACAACAGAATGAAATTAAACCCAAAAAAACACTCAGGAAAGTACAAATCCAAAAACTTTACCTTTTAAATACAAGTTTATTTGGAACTGAGTGAATGTAACGACCCACCTTTGGAATTACTGTAGCATGAGCAGGCTAGTCAGGTCTTGGTGGTGAGCGCCCCCAGGTGTGCACCTAAAGGAATATACCGTAGTTTATCCTGTTTATGTTGTTGTTCCAAAAAGAACAATGTCCAGGGTGCATCCGTGGTTCCACAACAAACACTTAAATATAATACATGCGATCCATGCAGAAAACCGTAGCAGCTTTCATGACTGTCAGTAGATGTCTGTTAGAAGTTTGTCTATTATTAAAATGTAAAACATGTCTATCATATCATGCTTCTTGACTCTGTTTGGGAATGTTTCACTTTAACTTGTTTAATTATTTGAAGCCTAACTCATAATTAACATACCCACACAATGCTCTACTAAGTATAGTGTATCTCTACTAGTTTGTTTTGCATGAATAATGAATAAAAAAGAAACTCACTTTTAACAATTGTTTGTATTGTGAGTTGCACACCTGCTCTACCACTGTAACACTGAATAATTCTGTACTGTACGCAGTTAACCAGCAGAGGGAGCCAAATCCTTACTTTTTAAACAAAGCACTATATAAATACAAGCAGACATTTTGCTATATACTGGTAAAGGACAAAAAATGCCTCTGTCTAAATCTGCCAATATGAGTCTATAACTGGACTACACACACCATTTCTTACTCATTTTTCTGCTTTATTTAAAATTTAGATGGGAGAAACCATAGAGGGAGGGGGGGTATGTGGCTATGGTGGGGGAAAAAAAAGTAAAACAATTCATTATTTCCACAGGGCAAATCCGAGTTTTAGACTTACCCTTGATAAGAGATGGTGAAACAAAGTAGATTACTCACATAATAACTTATCCTTTCAAAGATACTACCAAATAAATAGAAATAAATATACCGTTTAAACAAATGTCCTCAAAAAGAAATGGCAGTACTAAAAAAGCAAGTCACTTTCAAGTCTCCTGTAAAGTACAAATCCACCATGCGATATCGAGAGCGCGAGTAGTAACGTTCGTTCACTAAACTTGCTACCCAGACGTTGCTCTGTATTTCAGTGTGTTAGATATGACCAAGGCCAAGGAACTTGGTCTCCAGAACCGGTTGACTGTGCACAAGTTCTCCTGGACCTGCAGGGTGTCCGTGTGGACGTATGCCATCAGCCGTGTGTCTCCCAGGCTCAGCTCTGTCCCAGTTCCCCTTCTAACGAGCCTTCCCTCCCTCATCTACTCCAGCATCTTGTGGGCGGTGGGTCGTTGGAGGGGTAGGGGGCCACACTCGGACACTAAGTACATCTACCCCCATGCTAAGCATCGATATGAGCCAGTCCCCAGGCTGGCTGCGCCTCAGGGTCCTAGGAGCTGGTGGCGCTGTTGAATTTGTCCAGGATGGTGGCGTTGACTCTCTGGAACAGCCACTGCTGCGTCTCGGACTGGGGATTGCACTTGTTCATGAAAATCCGCTTATCGGCAGGGCTACAGTCGATGCAACCGTTGCTCACCAGGTGGTAAAGAGACTTATCCTGCAACCAGGAGAGGAGGAGAGAGAGGCAAAGGCAAGCAATAAATAAAAAATAAACAAATAAATAAATAAATAAAAGTAAAGGAAAAACACAGTGGCGGTGACTCTGGCAGCGGTCTAATCCTTCTCTTATCTCCCGTTCCTCTTCAGTCAGATTACAGGACCAGAACTGAGGAACCAAAACCAGAGCGATTTTTTTTCTCCTCCCTAATCAGAAAAGCTGAATTCATTTCATGGTTTCAGCTTGGAAGTCAAACTAGTGAGAAATCTCAGAAGCGCACCAGAGAGAGTGCGAGGAGGGTATAAAGAGAAAGAGAGAGAGAGAAGAAGAAAGTAAGAGAGAGGCAGAGAGAGAAAAGAAAAAAGAAGGGCTGAGAGAAAGAGAATTATTTGAAAACTACTTGTTACATTATTATTAACCAGATTTAAGAGCATTTTATTGCTGCTATGGTATGATAAGTTATTTATATATATATATATATATATATATATATATATATATATATATATATATATATTAAGTTATATATACACACACACACACACACATCGATCAGGCATAACATTATGACCACCCCCTTGTTTCTACGTTCCAGTGCTGCTGGAGTTTTTGAAAACCCCAGCGTCACTGCTGGACTGAGAATAGTCCACCAATTAAAAATATCCAGACAACAGCGTCCTATGGGCCGCGTCCTGTGACCACTGATGAAGGACTAGAGGATGACCAACACAAACTGTGCAGCAGCAGATGAGCTATCGTCTATGACTTTACATCTACAAGGTGGACATACAAAGTAGGAGTGTCTAATAGAGTGGACAGTGAGTGGAGTTCAAAACTCCAGCGGCACTGCTGTGTCTGATCTACTCGTACCAGCACAACACACACTAACACACCACCACCACGACAGTGTTACTGCAGTGCTGAGAATGATCCACCACCCAAATAGTACCTGCTCTGTGAGGGTAAAAGGGGGCTAACAAAGTATGCAGAGAAACAGATGGACTACAGTCTGTAATTGTATAACTTCAAAATGCACCTATAAAGTAAGTGGAGCTGATAAAATGGACAATGAGTGTAGAAACAAGGAGGTGGTCATAATGTTATGTGATCAGTGTGTCTATCTATCTATCTGTCTATCTATCTATCTATCTATCTATCTATATATATATATATATATATATATATATATATATATATATATATATATATGTGTGTATATTCAAAAATCTCTCATTGTACACCACGGTAGTACACACTTTGTGCTGGTAATAGCAAACATGCCAAAGAGACTGGTTAGTGGTAAGAACAGAGGCCGGTCCCTGAGGGAATGCTTGGACTGGGCAGGGGAGAAGGAGGTACCTCAGGGCTCCAGCTACAGCCCTCTATGCTTTTCCCTCTGGCTGATTTACTCTCTCTGCCTCAGGCTCTTCTACTGCCAGGGCCCACCTGTCCTTTCAAGTGCATATTGCCTTTCTGCTGTGCCGTCATTGACCTATCTGACAATGATGATGATTTCTCTAGTGGACCCCTTGATGCCCTGTGAGAGGAAACGGCTGGGTGTTCGCTCATATTATCTTGCTGGAAGGCTGGAGAAACGCGGGTGCCATATCAGCCTCCATTATTTATGGCAAACTGTAATGTGGACTCAGAGCAGTAAGCATGGCTGTGTGGAGCTGTGGTAATAAGGCATCCACCTGGTCCTAGCCTGGCCCTGCAGCTATGGTAAAAAGCGTTACACTTTATTGACCACATACAGCAAAGAGAATTTTTAGGCTAGAAAGCCTTGGTGTGAAAGCACCAAGATTTTTATAAGAGATGCTGCTATCATTATACTGTATGTGTGCAGTGTACATTATTTATTCTTTTATTACTAATGCATCTTCATGAAATGCAAATCACAGTACAACACTGTATAGCTGAAAGAATATATTTAAGTGTCTTGCTCTCTTGTGGGTTTCAGATATACATATGAATGTGTACATATAGGGCTTAGACAAAATAATGGAAACACCATATGAAAAAGAGTCCTATCACTTACACACAGATAAAAGTTACATTATATACACATGAGCTTCTGGAATTCCAGTATGAGCAAAATTAGGCCATGAGTCTGAAAGATATCAGCTTACTGATTTACCAAGTTTATCAAACTTGCAATTTGTAGCAATACAATCACAGCACTAGTATTTTGTCCATATTACGCAGCCCTAGTACGTGTGTGTGTGTGTGTGTGTCTGTGTTACCTTGCGGTAGCTCCAGTGCTGGTTACCCCTCATGCCGTGGCAGTCATAGAGTGTGACAGGACTGCTCTGAGAGATGGCGTCGAAGCAGAACTTCCTGGTGTGTAAAGGATCACCTGGTCTGATGTCCTCCCTCCAGCCAAAGGTGAAGATCTATAAAAACAGGCACACAGACATGCTACTCACTACAGTCTTACTGGTTCTTTAGCAACACTGTCTTTTGTTGTTAGGACAGGGTTGCCCAGTCTTGTTCCTGGAGATCCACTATCCCCCAGAGTTTAGTTCCAACCCTAATCTGATACAACTAATCTTATTTAACTCTATTGGGACCACCAATTGAATAGCTTTTGTCACATTTTGTTTGCTTATTTTCACCTGTTGCTCATAACTCAGGCTGTTGAATTGTGGAGACTTTTCACAAACATTCCCACCACAATTCATCATTCAGCCTCCGTTCTTTTCAGGAGACCTGCTTTCAGGTTTTCAAAGAGATCTGTAGGGATATTCTTCCACACCTCCAAAGTTCAACTGTAAAAGCTGGTTGCATTTTCTGCTTCTCACAATCCAAGAAGTCCCAAATACATATTAAATGTTGCTGAGGTCTGGACTCTAGGGTGGCCAGTAAATCATTCTTAGAAAACCAGCAGATTTGGTCATTTGCTCCTTTCTTGTCTATTTTCTTTTGTCAGTAAAGGTTTCTTGACAGTTTTACGTTCTTTTGGTCCCATAGCATTGAGTTGTCTTTTTGCAGTAGTAGGATGGACAGAAACACCTGTGGGTAGATCTGAAGCAAGAGTGGAACCTGACTTTATCCCATCCCTCTAAACATAAGGGTTAAGTACCGTTTATCTGATGGGTACAGTTTTGGTGGTTTGCAAGGTCTTTCACTGTTATATTTTAGATTTTTTTAACTCCAGTTTTAGAAACTAATTTTTTAAAACGTATTTTATTTATTTCCCCTCCTTATGCAAGTGGATTATCTACCTATTCCCTGTAGAAATATCTTCTGAATAATGCCTTCAAGTCAAATGAATGAAATATGCCTGATTTTAGTCTTGTATAAATAATTATGTAATGTAAAGCATATAGCAGAAATGTATAGCAAAACGACAATAACTCTAAACCTCTGAGAGTTAAAGTTGTTGTATTACAGCCACAGTGAAACATCTCTAGGATCAGAGCTGAGCAGCCTTGCAGCAGGGGTTTGGTGACTGTTATAGATTAGGGCTTGGTTACTGAACTCCATTCCTAATGGCAGATTTCAACCCTTCTCTCCGAGTAACTGTTCTAATGAGTTACTTAACACCTCATTACGTTCGAGGCTAATGACTGGGAAGTAATGAGGTGTTTTGTGATAGACGCCCCTCTGGCTGATGGGTACTGCTCTCTGGACTGCGTTACCTGTTCATGCGCCCAGGTTCTCTCAGCTCCCTCTTTCAGGCAGGTGTCTAGACGGAGCTCAGTGCCTGTCGAGCCGTGTTTGGAGTCGATGCATAAACCTGACGCAGCGTTGTGGATCTGCAAGCACACAAAGAAAGAAAGAGATCAATAGGAATACTCTTCATCCACACATCAGATTCCTTAGACTGCACAGAATACCAATATTCTATTGTTCCTGTTGTTTGTGATTTGGGAAAAAACTGCTGATGCCTCACTCAAAACTGCAGGTTTTGAATTTTCCTCGCTTCTAGATCAACTTTAAATTAGCTCTGTGAAAGGTAATACTTTAGTTCATGTGAAAATTCTAAAGTTAAACTAGCTTAAAAGTTGAACATTTAGAAGATGCTGTTATTTGATCACCTGGTCTTGATGTAGTAACATCTGTTCATAGTTGTTCGTATAATCATAACCACAAAAATTATGCATCTAGCGCAATACTTCGTAACAATACTATTAATGAATGAATAGGTAGAAACTTTCTGAAGATTTCTGACATATACACTGTATTGCCAAAAGTATTCACTCACCCATCCAAATCATTGAATTCAGGTGTTCCAATCACTTCCATGGCCACAGGTGTATAAAACCAAGCACCTAGGCATGCAGACTGCTTCTACAAACATTTGTTGGGTCGCTCTCAGGAGCTCAGTGAATTCCAGCGTGGTACCGTGATAGGATGCCACCTGTGCAACAAGTCCAGTCATGAAATGTCCTCACTACTAAATATTCCACAGTCAACTGTCAGTGGTATTATAACAAAGTGGAAGCGATTGGGAACGACAGCAACTCAGCCACAAAGTGGGAGGCCAGGTAAAATGACAGAGCGGGGTCAGCGGATGCTGAGGCGCATAGTGTGCAGAGGTCACCAACTTTCTGCAGAGTCAATCACTACAGACCTCCAAACTTCATGTGGCCTTCAGATTAGCCCAAGAACACTGCATAGAGAGCTTCATGGAATGGGTTTCCATGGCCAAGCAGCTCCATCCAAGCCTTACATTGCCAATCGCAATGCAAAGCGTCGAATGCAGTGGTGTAAAGCACACTGCCACTGGACTCTAGAGCAGTGGAGATGTGTTCTCTGGAGTGATGAATCACGCTTCTCCGTCTGGCAATCTGATGGATGAGTCTGGGTTGGCGATTGCCAGGAGAATGGTACTTGTCTGACTGCATTGTGCCAAGTGTAAAGTTTGGTGGAGGGGGGATTATGGTGTGGGGTTGTTTTTCAGGAGTTGGGCTCGGCCCCTTAGTTCCAGTGTAAGGAACTCTTAATGCTTCAGCAGACCAAACAAAATATTTTGGACAATTTCATGCTCCCAACTTTGTGGGAACAGTTTGGGGATGCCCCCTTCCTGTTCCAACATGACTGCACACCAGTGCACAAAGCAAGGTCCATAAAGACATGGATGAGCGAGTTTGGTGTGGAAGAACTTGATTGGCCTGCACAGAGTCCTGACCTCAACCCGATAGAACACCTTGGGGATGAATTAGAGACTGCGAGCCAGGCCTACTCGTCCAACATCAGTGTCTGACATCACAAATGCGCTTCTGGAAGAATGGTCAGAAATTCCCATAAACACACTCCTAAACCTTGTGGAAAGCCTTCCCAGAAGAGTTGAAGCTGTTACAGCTGCAAAGGGTGGGCCGACATCATATTAAACCCTATGGATTAAGAATGGGATTTCACTCAAGTTCCTATGCGTGTGAAGGCAGACGAGCAAATACTTCTGGCAATATATTGTACATCTGGATGATACAGAAATATCCCTTCAAGAGCAGAAGATTGGGTTTCACTTGGGGAACCCCTGAGGTTCAACACACAGATGTTCCTTGGTAAAGATAAGAAAAAAGGCTATGAAAAAACCCTTTGTTGATATTAGATATTCTCTATTGATCCCTGAGGGGACATTTGAAGGCCACAGTAGTAGAAGAACATGGGACATTACACACATAAAATAAACAAGCCAAATTACACATATTACTCCTATAAGTAAACAAAGTGCATGTGGAGTGGATGGACAGATTTCTTTAGAATTTTGCTACCACCCTACTTTCTGTCACTGCCTCCAGTGAGTCTAGAGTCAGTCCTGGCTTTTCTAATCGGTTTATTGAGGCACTAGGCTTCTTCTGCAGTAGCGTTGCTCCCCTAGCAGAATACTTGAGAAAAGAATTCTGGCCACAATAGATTGATAGAATAACTCCAGCAGCCTGCTGCACAAATTGAAAGACCTGAGCCTCTATAGAAAGAAGAGCTTGCTCTTGCCTTTCCAGTACAGAGCATCTGTGTTATCAGTCTAGTCCAGTCTGTCGTTCAGATGGAACCTTATTTACATGTAGGACTGAACCATCTCCACATCCTCAATCTGGATTCTAAACTGGTTTCATCGGCCCCTTAATAGCTCTGGCAGGGCAGAAATTTGATGAATTGACTTTTTGGAAATGTGGCATCCTATGACAGTGCTACCATGTTGAAAACAACTGAGCTCTTCAGTACTACCCATAGCCAAATACGCTAATTAGAAGGGCTGTCTGCATACCTTTGGCCATGCAATGTAGATAAATAAATAGATAGAATATCTCAAACTCTTTTGGCACAAATTAGGCCTAATAGATGATCAAACTGAAACCATGTGAGACATCCATCACATCAGGCCACATCTGTGACTCATAATTAACAGATCTGTTTGAAACAGGCATAAAAGAGTGGTTAAGTGTGCATGCAGCATTTGCTCCATCTGTGTTCAGATACTGCCAGCATGACTATGTGGGAAGATCAAGTCATGACTTCAGAGTTGGCATTATAACCTTTTTCATTGTGGACAGCTGTACAGCTGTGGGGTATTTAGAGCATCTGCTGTAAGTTTTACCCTCTGTGTGTTGAGGATTCATATGCTACAGCCACCAATCCAGTGAAACAATTCCATTTAAATAGTGACTCATGCTACATCACACTCCACCCAGTGGGAAAGCATGAAAAAAAAATAGAAGGAAAAGGCAAAGAAGGCAAAGAACACTGGAGTGTGTGGTTTCCCCACTGCGAGAATGACAGAAAGTTCTGGTGCTTCTTTGCCTTTTCCTTCTCTTTTTTCTTGCTTTTTTGATTGACTGTCTCATTTGCCTAATTCTCGTTAAAGCATTCAGGTGTGCTGGCTGGTGTGATAGAAGAGTTCAATAATGCATGAAAACTGGAGCTGCTGTGTGTGGAGCACGCTGGGCAGTAGGCAGGTACACACACACACACACATTCAGCCTTACAGAGTCACGGGGGGCAGAAGGACTGAGAGAAAGGTGCACATACACACACATATATTCAGGGAGCCGTAGGGGCAGTAAGGCTGAGAAAAAAGTTACAGACACACTGAAAGAAGAAAGGAACAACAGCAGAATATCCAACAGAGCAGCACACAGTATAGTGTATGCATGGTTCTTAAATGAACACTAATTTAGCACTTACCAAAATGTCTTGTCAAAACAACACTTGAGTTTGGGAGGATTTCCCACATACAACATCAGACTTGGGTCGGGCTGGGGTTTGTTTCCTAATGAGTGTATGCAGTAGATTTTGTGCACACTGAAGCATTTTCTATTTCTCTCTTGCATACATATCGTTCTTAGCTACATTCAGAGTAGCTCTGGAGTTTGAGGATGTGGCCCTGAATGAAAGCATGAATGATGAGAGGGATGCGTTGAGTTGGAAAGGTCACAACAGATCGTTCCTCCTGCTTGTTAAGCTCATCCAAAGTGTGTTAAGTATTTCTGCAAGTAATGAGAGGAACTTTAGTGCAGTGGGGCTAACAGCTGATCAGAGGACAGTGGATGCTGTTCTCTGCCAGTTACAAACAGCAATTCCATAAAAATGTACTGATAATGACTCTTGGTGTATTAAAAATGTGTAAAATACCATTTTATCCCAGCATGGCTTTATCTGTCAGTCAACTTAAGAGCCTATTGACAAGGTAAAACCATAATAGTGCTTGCAAACAGGATAGGGTTTAGAATTTAGAAGTACTACTAGGGCCTGGTCGGGTCAGGTCTCGAAGTTACAGGTATGGGTGGGGTTTGGATTTCAGTTTCATACTGTGCCGACCTCTAGCTGGGATACACTGTCTGAGTGGACTAAAAAGAACTTTTGTAAGTCACTCTGGATATGTACGTCTGCTAAATGTCATAAATGTAAATGGTGCATAAGCCTAATATGCTGTTCCTGCACAGCATATTGCACCAGTACAAAGCAATGATGAACACTAGTTACTGGAAAGTCATAAATCACAGATATTGAAAATGATACATTGTATAGCATGTTAACAATATCACAGACACGAAAGATCATCAAAATCATTCTCAAAAATCTGTTAATTTAATTGTAGGCCTTTGTACCTTTTCAATTACAACCTCACAAATCCCTTGGACCCTCACAGAGCAGGTACTATTTGGGTGGTGGATCATTCTCAGCACTGCAGTAACACTGACGTGGTGGTGGTGTGTTAGTGTGTGTTGGGCTGGTACAAGTGGATCAGACATAGCAGTGATCTGGAGTTTCTAAACACCTCAGTGTCACTGCTGGACGGAGAATAGTCCATCAACCAAAATATCCAGCCAACAGCGTTCTGTGGGCAGCGTCCTGTGACCACTGATGAAGGACTAGAGGATGACCAACACAAACTGTGCAACAGCAGATGAGCTATTGTCTCTGACTTTACATCTACAAGGTGGACTGACAGGGTAGGAGTGTCTAATAGAGTGGACAGTAAGTGGACACAGTGTTTAAAAACTCCAGCAGCACTGCTGTGTCTGATCCACTCAGACCAGCACAACACACACTAACACACCACCACCACGACAGTGTTACTGCAGTGCTGAGAATGATCCACGACACAAATAGTACCTGCTCTGTGAGGGTCCATGGGAGTCCTGACCACTGAAGAACAGGGTAAAAGGGGGCTAACAATGTATGCAGAGAAACAGATGGACTACAGTCTGTAATTGTAGAACTACAAAGTGCACCTATGTAGTAAGTGGAGCTGATAAAGTGGACAATGAGCGTAGAATAATGTCATAATGTTATGCCTGATCGGTGTATG